TCATCATATTTAATGGTTATAAATGTGTTCAGTAAGTTGAGCCTTCTCACAGTTAAAGTGAAGAATCTTTGGAATGAAGAGCACCTTCATTTCAGAGTGTTTTGTTTTTAAATGTCAAGTAAGTTTTTGTTCTGCAGCTGGTTTCATTGTATCTTTTTAAGGGAGAAAATACTGAGGCAAAAAAATATTCTCTGAAGACATGACAAAGTAAAAAATGTGTGCCTTAGAAAATAAATATTATTACTTGTTTAATCCAGCTATAAGAGGTAGCTCTCCATCAGTGTAGGAAGGTTATAGATGATTTCCATGTTTATGTTGTTGGGGCTGTGATAAATCTTCGATGTTACTGCATGATTCATACCGCGCTCCTCGGGACCAATCAGAAGTGGGCTCAGGGCTCACCGCCGTCACGTTTCAGACAGGAAAGGTCAAATATCTTTGATGAACGGTTGATGTTTGTCACTTATACTCTCCAAGCATTTTCATATAGTGCCACTTTAGCTGTATTTCTCATTAGGAAGTGAAGACATTGGTATGTGTGTGTGGTTCAGTATATTCTCATTCATTCTGAGTGTTTTAAGTTTAAAAAACAAAACAAATTGTAAAGAATTTGGCACTAACATCTTCTGATTTTGCTTTAGACAGATAAATATAAAGGTTTCAGACTGTCAAGTTAATTTAGTAAGTGGCTACTTTTTTGTTTAGATAAATAATAAAAAATGTCATAGCTTTACAAAATGCTGTATAGAATGATTCTATTATTAGACCTACATTATTGTAACCCCAACATCTAAGGGAGGTAAAATATAAACAGGAAATGGTTCTTTTAAAAAAACGAAACAAACACAACCTTAAATCCTCCCACAAAACGAAAAAGAGCAGTTTGAGCTGATAAAGGAAAGAGAAACCCCAAAAGGATTGTGTTGATGGAAGTGTATATTTTTAAGAAGAGTTGCCGCGAACTAGCAGAAGTCGTCCTGTGAATCTCACTGTGCTGCTTCTCACTGTACATGCTGCATGTACCAAACACAACTGTAGGACTTTGTTTTTGTTCAATCTGAAGCCGAAAACTTTTGTACTGTTCTCAAGAGCTTTGGAGTACTTTGTCTTTTCATTTTCAATAAATCTTTCTTTGATTCAGGGCAACGCTGTGAGTGTGATACTTGTTGAGAACGACCAAATGGAGAGAGAAATGAGTGTGACAGCCCTCTGGTGTTGGTTTGGGGTACCACACTCTCTTTAGCAGTACGCCTGAAATACTAACACATTTAACCATAAAGCATCTCAGGGCTAGAACTATTCATTACATGTTAGCCGTTTTTATCCAAAGCGACTTGCATACATTCAGTTCTGTGAACAATCCCCACAGGAGCAAGTTGGGGTGAAGTGTCTTGCCCTGGGACCAGCCTGGGACACAACGACATGTTGACTGCAGTGGGGTTTGAACCTGTGCTCCCCTGATCCGAACACCAACGCACTAAGTCCACTGCGCCACAGCCTTTACTGTCATTAAAGATACATCTGACCTTTTTTTATTTTAATCTTTGTGTAAAAACACAAAATAGTTTAAAAGATAATGATGCTGAACACTAATGTTAACCCTTTTTCTGAACGCAAACATAACTTTTTATCCAGATAATCCAATCCGTAATCTTTTCTTCTAACATTCACTGCCAGAGGGGGGAGACAAAAGCTCCACACCCCTACTTAAATGTACTATCCACTCATCGCTTTAGCACTAATTACATTTGTGTGTTTTTTTACTCATATTCTAAAAATCCAATGTCTTCATCGTGATTGTTTCCAGGAATGCCACCACAGACAGATTCCTACTGCAAAAGCAAAGGCTGTTATCAGTGGACCATTAGCTCTATCACCATTGTGTTACTCCCCTATAGGGACATCACAGGCATTTATTTAAATATAAGTCTTCAAGACTATTACTTACAGTTAAATATCTAGATACCACTGTCCTCTGCTTTCAGCCTGTGACATGGTCTTGTTTAATGCAGTGGTGTTTGAAACATGTCATCAGCTAATGAGCAAATCTCTTCAAAGTGGAACAACAAACAAGTAGGAGGGGCCTAAACAAGTTTGAATAAGCCATGTGTCCCAGGTTGGTCACACCATCACGCACCATCAGTTGTGTCTCCTTTAGTCAGTATTGAAAATGTCCCTCTGGAAATCCGAAAACAATTTCATTCAGTGCTACTTACCGACACGTGACACACGCGGCTGCAGTGAGCCTTTTCAGAGGCCGTGGAGGACCATTTCAGCCAACAGAAAATAGACTCTTCTTCAGGGGGGGCATCGCTGTGCATTGGTAATATCTACAGAACGGCTGAGGTGAATGGCTCTTTCATAGTCGTGTTCACAGAGAAAGCTGCAGTGTCTGTAGCTGACGCTGGGAGGAGTGGGGGGGGAGGTGGTGGGAATTGTGGAAAAAGGGAACACAGGAAGTGATGGGGTCAGAGACACAAGTCAAATGAAAGGCTGGGAAAAAGACTGCAGGGTCTCTTTCTGTGGGAAGATCCTCTGCTAACATTTGCCCACTATAAAGCACTTTACATCAGGGCTGCAATTAATTACTGTCTTCTAGATTGAAAATGTCTCATAAGAATAAGAAATTGTGTTCAAATTGCTAAAATGTTTATTATTGAAAAATAGTCTTAAGTGATTCATAATTTAAGTTATTATCTTTGATTTAGGTCAATATTTTTAAGTTTTTGGATTGTAAGTCAGGCTAATCAAACCGTTTAGGAATTGAAAATGCATTTTGGATTTGTCAAAAACAATTAGCACATCAATTAGTACAGAAAAAAAAACATATTCAATTTACTAAGAGACAAAACCAATAATCTTGAGTGTTTACTTTTTCTTACAATCGCCAGAAAGAAATTGAATGTATGATTGACTTTCAAATAATCCCAGATGGACATTGCTACATCTATTGATACATATATGTGCTTTTGTTGATTGTAAAAGTGGTCCAACTTTTAATTATTCACATTGCAAAGACATGGTAGAATACAGATGAAGCCAAATATGCTGCAAACTAAATCTGTTGTCACAGGCGATATAATACAAAATATATGGAGAAAATATGTTTTCAATATTAAATTACAGAATGAGACTTATAATAATAATGTGAATAAAAAGAGACGATATATAACCCTTTTTTAAATAGCGAAGTAATTCAGCGTTTGCAATTAAACTCAGCTCAACATTATATCACCTTATTTGATCAATCAAGTGATTGGAATTGTTATTTTATTCCAGCATTTTTTTATTTAAAGGAAAGTTCTTATTTTTTTCTCAAAAGGCCATAGATTAAATTACATTTAAATAAAGTATTGTATTTTGAATGACATCATGACTTTAGTGCATTTATTTACTGTATTTATTCATATGATTATTTCATTTTTTCATAATGTCTTATTTAATTAAGGATTGTACGAATGTTTTTAGGGCAGAAAAGAGTTAGGATATTTTTTCTTTTCTTTTCTTGTTGTTGTCCTTATTTTGTATTTTTTAACTTGTAGTTGTATTTTTTAACTTGTTGTAGTTGTAATGTAACTTGAAATTGTTTCACTTAAGCAGAATACAACAGTCCTGTCTCTGTATCTTAGTACGTTTTGTCAATATTTACATTTGTGGTTCACATTAGAAGTTCAGTTAAAAATATTGACTCTTGTGACAAGATATCAATTTGTTGTCAATGAATAGGAGTGTTCCACCAATAATGACCCTGCGGAGGGCAAATATAAGGTTCACCACCCCTACCATTTTACACAGTCTCTTGTTTTCATTTTGAACATGGCCCGCCACACAGATCCAAAAGTCTCTTCTGCCTTCTGCAGTCAGGGAGCATATCACAGTCAAAGTGTGTGTTAGTGGTAGTGCACCCGTCCGATGGTCCCCGTCCCCGTGACCAGGATGTCTGGCTGTCCGTTCCTCCAGATCTCCCTGACGATTCGCTCCCTCTCCTCCAGACGGCGCGCCTTCTCCAGCTCCTCGGCGGACGCAAACACATTGACGCTCCTCAGAGTCCCGTTAGAGCTGCTGTCACCCAGGGGCCCCAGGGTCACTTTAGGGATCTGCGTCGCCTCCTCATCTTCCTCATCAACGCCCCCCTCCTCATCCTCCTCGTCCTCATCTTCCTGCGCGCTGGAGTCCTTCAGCTTCCTCCTCTCTGGGGAGGGGGGAGCCCTGCGGTGGCGGCGGGTCCTGCAGGCGATGGCGGACACCAGGAGGCACAGCGCCATGAGGAGGCCCAGACACACGCCCATCATGAAGTACAGGGCGAAGCTCTCCGGATTGGCTGTGAGAGAAGAGAGGAACACAAGAGCATTTATTAAAGGTCCCCTATTATACTGTTTTTCATCAATATATTATAGGTCTCAGATATATACAAACATGTCTCTGAAGTGTTTGTCTTGAAATACCAAACAGATCTTGCTTTGTAGCATCCCATAATCTCCTCTGTTTCAGCCCTGTTTCAAAAGTGCTGATTCTCTGTCTGTTACTTTAGAAAAAATAAGGAGCCACTCCCCACGTCCCTCTGAGAGATATTTGGTTAAAAAGAACACAAAGGTGCTCTAGGAGGAGATTCAGGTGATAAGGGGGGTGACAAGGGTTACCTTGGTTGGTGATCGGCTAATGGTTACACAAGCCAAAAAATCGTTATGACATCATAAAGTGGCCAAAATCTGATCAGCTCATTTTCAGAGGTTTTTATATAAATGGATCAGGACAAAAAGTGAGGGAATCTTTTTCCCTGAAACTTTCAGAATCTCTTTACACAGAGGGGACACATGTTGTTGTAGAAAATAAATGAAAAGTGGATTTTGCATAATAGGTGACCTTTAAAGTAGTGAGCCCCAACGTTATAATCTCGATTTTGATCTCTTTGCCGCCTCTTATGGTGATACTGTAGGTGTGTTTGGTGTTATGCAAATTGAATACTTTTACATGCACAAAATCATGTTTTTGCCCTTTTTCCAAAAATACAAATATAAGCTGTTCACATTGTTAATAACAGTATATTCCAGAACTATTCCCGATTACAAGCAGCCATTTCAACTTCCGTTGCATCAAAAAGGTCATAGAAATATTGGAAACTATTCTAAAAATACTGGCACAATTACGTTATTTTTTCCTGTATATTTCAAATGACCCCAAAGATTCATGCCATGACACATGGATTGAGCCTCGAACCCTGGGTTGAGAACCACAGGGACATGTTTTACCTTTGATGTGAGCGTAGGTGGCCATGCTGTTGCTGAGCAGCTCCATGTCTCTCTTAATGGGCTCCATCCTGCTTCACAGAGTCTTCAAATCTTCATCAGGACTTCCTATTACACACTGAACTCCAACACCTATACCACAGACCACAGGAAAAGGAGACAGTGAGTATTTATCACATTATAAAATGATGTCGCTTTTAAACCCATTAAGGAAGCCTGAACTCATTTAAAGGCTTTCCCCTCTCATTACCTCTGTGATCTACAGCAGAGGTCAGAGGTCAGCAGAGAGGACATTGTGTTCCTCGTAAGTGTTTTACACTCAGCCTGCGGTGAGCACAGAAACATGAGGCCCTCTGTGTCTGATGGGGATGTTTATATTTATGTCATCAGTGCCTGAGGAGGCTCTTTTCCGGAGTCGAGTCGAGTTTTTTTTGTCTTTTTTTTCCCACAGAAAACAAGTCACATGACTTGGATACTCCCAGCTATTAACAATATGTTATCGCAAAAAAACATGTGATTGTTCTGGTTTATTTTGCATTTATTCTGATATGTCTTGTCTCTTTTTCTAATGATGCTGAAGCACTTTTAATGAATTCTATCTCCAAAGTATCTATAATTATGGAATGGATGATCAAATACAGTATCCAAAAGCAGTTCACAACTCAATGTTTCATACTTTCAAGAAGGGTTTTGGAGAGTGTTCACACTGACAGCACATACAAATTAACTTGTATACAAATATGCTTATTTTGTTGTGTTCCACTATTTTCCAACAATGCGGTGCAAAAAGGAAGCAGAGGGGCTGCCCACAGCTGCACATAATTAAAACAAATTGTGGGTGGTGGTGAAACAGCCCAAAGGACATCTAAAAAAACAAAGAAAAACAAAGAAAATATGTAAAATAAATCTCAATGTCCATTTGTGAGATTTAAATAGTAGTGGCATTTGAAACTCACGATTAGATACGTATTGTCTGTTTCCTGTTGGCATTTAAAGGTTAAGTGTGTAGATTTATTGTCGGCCTACACCACCAGCAAGAACCATCATGATGACAATGCTTTCAGTTGATTTTATGGAGGTGTAATGTTTACTAGGTCAAACATCTGAGTTAAACTTGTTAGCATGTTAGCATGCTATAGCAGCTATACCTACAGGACCTATTGAAAGTATGGTGTCTTCACACGGATGTGTAGGTTATAACAGAATGTGCCTTCAAATTACAGCTCCCCTACCAAAGAGCAAGACACAAAGTCTGTATAGTTGGTAAGGCGCTTCATGCTATGTCTTTTTTTGTTCATTTTCAGTTGTTGAGTTGAATTGTAGTAATTTTCATTGTCTTTTTAGTAATGAAATATCTCCTTATGTTGCTTTGTAATTGTTTAAAAATATCTTTGCTGTAATTCTGAGTGACTTTGGAAGAATGTTTTGTCTCTTTGTAGTTTACTTTTTTCTCTTTGTGGTGCAGTTGTTTTTATTGTTATGATTGTTTTCATTGTCTTTGTTGGAATTTTGAGTTTTTCCGTAGTCACTTTGAGTTTCTTTGTTATCAGTTGAGTGTCTTCCTGGTTTCTGTGTGTCTTTTTGAGTGACATTTTGTCAGTGAAGGCCCAATCCCTCCTTGGCTACAGGATATGTAGGGTAGTTGTCTCCATTAGTAGTATTGACCATTGCCATTCCTGGAGCCAAGCTGCTGAATAGAAACAGTAACATGGCTTTGGTTACTCAGATTAGTAGTGCCATTTTCCCTTTGAGGGGTAAAACTGAAACTAAATAATGGGCTACATGCGAAAGCTAACACCTGTTGCATTTTATTGTTTGTTAAAATCCAAAATGTTAATAGGATTCCAAGTTTCCTAACTTTAAATGCTCTAACACTAAAGTCTCCTACTTGTAAAAAAAAGAATGTATCTAACAGAAAATGCATTAACTGCAATTTAAATTATAGTAAAAACAGTTACACTTAAAAAAATACTAAAACGTTTTTTCTTTCTTTTTCTTTTCAACGATCAATCATTTGAGAGGGATAGACACTGAGATTTATTTGAGGTTAAATGTCACAGATGGTCCCACAGAAAATATAAAGATTGATGTAAACATGATGACTGATATTCCCACCCCCTCACATTCCCTGTCATTAAAACAACAATGTGCGTGGGAGCCGAATGTTTTTCTTTCTGGTGCTTTCTCTCCGGGGAGAAAACAAAATCATGCCCTGCTGCAATCGTTGCCACTCGGGGGGCTCTCCCGCCCTGATCTTTATCCCGGTGACTCTTGGCAGTCCCTGTGCACTCTCAAAGGCTTTCTTTTGAATATTTTTAAGGACTGCAATTACATCCGTGGTCTCTATGTTGGCCGCTGACTCATGGGAACTGGTGGGTTTCAACCAGCGTTGCCCTCTGTTTGCCATTTAACTCCCAGACAGAAGAAGCATGACTCCATCTGCACCCTCAATTTGTGGCCCCCAGACCTTAACAACTTAGGTGGGCAATTAAGTTTCCGCTTGTGCAAAGTCAAACATTGTTTTCTGGCCTTTACACCCAGCACTTCTACATGCCCACCGACCAGATCAAACATTTGTCACACTGCAGATATAATCTTCTTATCAAATCGGATTTTCTGTAATTTGAGTCTTTACAGGAGTTAGCACACTGTTAGCTTAGCTTAAGCATAATTTCTGGAAAACACTAAACCACCTGCAAGCTCTCCGACTAAACTTTCTATCTCGTTTGTTTATTTTGAAAGCAGTTAAGGAGTTATGTGCCCAAATATGTCGTGCCAGGCAATGGACCAACAAATATATCAGCAAAAAGCGAATCAGCAAAATGTTGTCTTTAGTTTGTACTGATTAAGCAAACAAGATAAATGGATGTTAATCAGTGATCTTTAGGGGGTTTGTGTTGCCTTTGGAAGGAGCCAGGGTAGCTTTATCCCCCTCTTTTTATTCTTTATGCTAAGCTAGGCTAACTAGCTACTGGCTGATTTAGATCTCGAAATGGTATTGATTTCCCATCTTAATCTCGCTAGGAAAAGTGGAACAGTCTACTAGTGGCGAAGGAATATTCATATTCAAATCTGAATCTCCTGGTCTGGTTCTAAAATTAAGTTTTGATTTTAGTGCATATTGGATGTATTTTAAGCGCCGACTCTCTTTTCTGGAAACAACAAGTTGATTTATTTTGGAAAGAGTTCTGGAGGGATCTGGAAGGCTGTGGCGCAGTGGGATGGTGCATTGGTGTTGGGATCAGGGGAGCACAGGTTCAAACCCCACTGCAGTCAGCATGTCGTTGTGTCCCTGGGCAAGACACTTCACCCCAAATTGCTCCTGTGGGGATTGTGCACAGTACTGAGTATGTAAGATGCTTTGGATAAAAGCATCTAACAAGTAACATGTAATGTAATATAATGTAATCTGACTGCACCATGTTCCTCTTGTTTTAAGAAAGCAGATTATTATTTAAAAAAAATGATTAGTATGTCCTCGTAGCACTGTCAAACTCTTCTCTGTTGGCACATTTACACTAAAATACAAGTGTTTTTATACGGAGCTCCACAGAGCTTCCCTCACAGCGTGAAGCGGACAGTTTGTGGTGTAGTCTGCCCGAACTTGAAGCACAAATACCAGAGGGAGACAAATGTCCATTTTACACAGCAGCCGCAATCTCGAGCTGACAGATTTAATGCCTAAGACTTCCAGTCCAATAACTTCACATGCAAAGCCCGGCAGCTGAAGCTGTTTATGTAACCCTATAAAATGCACTCCCATTCAACCCTCCCACACTTCCTGCTTAGATAATCCTATTTAAGTCAAAAGATGAAATCTGAAACCATTGAATATGAGAATTGTTGTTTTACAGTAGTCCACAAAGAGTCTACTGTCTCAGACAGTCAAACATACTTTCATTAGCACAGTAGAAAGTGAATGAAAGGGTCTTTAAAAAGGTATTTAAATGCATAAAAAAAGATGGGTTTTTTCTTCTTTGTAGCTACTGGACCTATAAATGTTTTATGGTCTGTGGTATTGTAAAGAACATGGTGCAGGCCCTACTAATAAACTAGTGTGTTGCCTTGTTTATTGCCTGAAAGCAAAGTCACTGCAGTGTATTTGGGAACTTTTGAGACAGAATGAGCAATAATAATTTGATTTGTACATAGGCCTACATTTGAAGTATTTTAAGATTAAAAGATAAACATCTGAAGTTATCACTCACCTCGGTCCTGGATGGAAGCTGTCTGCTTGACTTGAACACAAGATTCCAATGGGAAAAGAAAGAACTTAGATCCAATGTTGACCTGGTCTGTCAGCCAACACGTAGATACAATCCCATCATTTGGATGGAGCAGTGAGAGGATGTTGGTCACTCAGTGTTTGTGACAGAAGCTGATGTAGCTGCTTCACAGGGAGCAGCTCTCCACTATGATCCACTCCCTGCCATCCTTTGGAGGAGGACCAGCCAGAAACACTCCTCACATGTGTTGAGAAGGAGGTGTTTCCTCTTCCTGAGAGATAAGTGAAACACAAGTATGTGCCAATGGCATCTGTCTGTAAAATAAAATACACCAAAAGCAGATAAACCACTCTATAGAGTCCTCACTTGTATAGAAAAAAACCTTTTTACTGGAGTTGTTCTGCCTCTGTGCAGATTTGAGCCACACTACTGACCAGAGGGAGGTGATCTTTCCTCTGCTGGCCACGAACGCACCACAGTGAGGTCTGTTCACTGTTAAGCCAGGAGGGTGGGACAGGAAATAGCTGCAGGAATCGGCTGACATGGGCACAGGGCCGCGGTGCCTTCAGGGGTTTGTGGATTAATTGAGCTCTTTGTATTTTTATCTAAGCGTCAAGTGAGGGGGGGGGAGAAAGACCTCAGCAGTGCAGTTTGTGTCTTTAACTGAGTTTACTAAGCAAACAGTGGAGCCAGCAGGTGCAGTAATACAAGGGGAAAGTTAGACCTTTCTTATGTAGATGTCCAGTCAGTGTTAATGGTTCATTTCGGCAATATAAGCAATACATTCCTTTGTGCGTGGTTTACTGAAGCTGAGTACTTATGCTTGAGAAACCGGCAGTGCCTATGAACCAGGATGAGCTTTTGACACCCAGAGGCCTCACCTCGACCGTATACTCTGGCTTGAATGACTGCGGCTGAATATCAGTCAGCCAAAACACTTTCAAATGTATCCATGTCTATTTTGTTATGCCATTTTTTGCGTTTAGAAATGTGACTAGTTTGCAATACAAGCAAGAAGAATAAGTGTGGATGCAGAGACTATAAATCCAGGTGGCAGTTTGCTCTTCCTCTTCCAACTATGTCTCTGTCATGTTGTATGAAAGCTCTGGATCCAAGATGAAAACAGATTTTGCAGCAGGAGACTCAACTGTCTCAGTCAGCATAACACCCATTGAGGAATGTATTGCTTCAATTGAAATCATTTACCACAGTGATTAGACATCCACATCAAAGGTTGGGAATGTGTCCTTTAAGTACATTTACTCCTGTACTGAACAAAGGGCACCATTTTGAAAGGACCATTTCCATTTCATGCTAATGTTACAAAAAGTACAAGAAGTAGTGGAAGAAATACCCGTCTTTCTTGAGTAAAAGTAGCAGTGAAGAAATACTGTAACATGTAAAACCCGTAGTAAGCCGGAGTATTTTTTCCTTGCTGTATTGGACATTTTACTTGAGTACTTCTTTGACCACCGTTGCAGTCAGTGACATTCGGCTGCGTCTTGTTAAAGAATTGTTTGTGCGGTTGCGCCTCAGTAAAGTGCTATTCTGAGTTTAGTGAGTGTTGATGTGGCACTCGGTCGTGTTTTTAGCAGAGCAGTAAGCAGTCATTATGTGGGCTGCTGTCATTCACATGCTCCCAATGTCAGTTCTTAAAGCATTCAGGGAAAAATATGTCCCTAAAAACACACAGGGGCCACAGCTAAAACAATGATCCAACCGCTGAGGGACATTCCTGTGTGTACATTTCTTAATATAATGTAGTATTTGCTTGCCAATCCCATCTATCTACAAGGGCAGGGTTATCTGCCTGTGTTATGTCAGGCCTGTCCTCTTCCTGGCAGTGTAGGAATAACATACCCCTTTGCAAATTCCTCAAATTCCCTATCGTATATGTGCATCGGGAGAACACTGGGACGGCAGTTTCTAAAGTGAAACACTCTCTTCCTTTCACTCCGCTCTGCACGTTTCCATTGGCTGAACAGAGTGGCATCCCGGCTCACAGTGACAGCTCCCTGGTGCCGGCAGCAGAGATGTGTGTGAGGCGGAGGCTCTGGAAACATGCCTGCTTGTTTTTCCCTCCACCAGACTGGCATTGATGGTGACTAATGTTTTCCTGCATGTGGGCAGTTATTAAGTCTCTTCACAGACAGACAGATGGGCTCTGTGGGGCTCAGGAGCAAAACGCTAACAAGTGTTTACAGTTAGGTTTTCATCTAAAAACAGCAATACATCTACATCACACAATTAGCCAAATAGTTGTTTTTCTGCTCAAAACCACATTTTGTTCATGAAGTAGCAACTAATGCAAAGATCCTTTCTCTTTATACACTATCAACACACAGCAAAACTAACTCACTATACAATTGTGGTGTAGAGATGTGAAGCCCTATTTTACATGTATTTATGTTTTTTATTCAACTGTTTATTGAATGTTTTATTTTTCTAAATGTTTTGTTAGTTTGATGTTTTTCCAAAAAAGAAAGGAAGTCTGTTGTTCAGCCTTTGTAAACTTACTCATATTTATTATATTTTCATCAACTGGATTTGATAGTCTCACTTGTGTGCATAGTAATTATGAAAACATTTCAATTTCATTTTAATGAACGAGTCATGTGCTGAAACAGAGAAAACGTTGGCATGGGCAAATGAGTTCATCACAAACATCTTTATTCATTATTTCTGTCTGTGCTACGAAAATGTTCTTACTTTTTCAAAATGCTGTAAATAAAACCATTTGTTTCAGTTACAACCCCAAGTCCCAACAGAGATAATATTCAACTCATTAGCTAATCCAGTGTTTCATAAAAATACATATGTTGTGTTAAGAGGCGCAATCATCATCATATTCCATTGATTCATCCATTTAAACAAAATTCATGTACAACTTTAAATGTTGATCTCATTTTTAAAAGCAAAAATACCCAAAAATAATCTTGTCAAAGCTTTCCTGTCAGTGTAAACTGAATATGTGTGTGTGTTGTTTGGATACAACAGGATATTAGAAGACGTCACTGGGCTCAGGATAATCATAACAATCACTTTCACAGTTTTTGACATTTTGTAGAAAAAGCAAAAAAAAATCAATTATCTATCATGGCTGCAGTCCTCGAAAAATAAATCCAGTGTCATTCATGATTTACTGATATTTTTCATCCTGTATCAAACCCATCATTACAGGTGGTGGCCTTTAGTATGCTCATTAAGTGTGAGAAGCTCAAACAAAGAGGGACATATCAAACAAGGTTTTAGAAGAAAAAAAGTAAAAGAATCCAAAACTGATTTATTTCTTGCTCTTGTCCCTGCAATCATTTATTTCATCTTCAGGTGGAAAACTGCTGGATTGTGATACTTGTCTTAACATTATTGTTGTTGTTGTTGTTGTTGTATGTTGCCTCCATGTGTTTTTAAAAATAGTCTTGCGTAACTCAAAAGTTTAGGCGTTATTTTGCTTTCTTGGCGTACTCTTTCCTGCCTCCTCCCTTACTGCCAAAGTTGCGCACGCGGTGGATCTTGGCCAGATGGCCCTCGATGGTCTTCATTATGTCCACGTGGTCTGGGATGTGGACATAGCGGATGTTCCTACCTGTGATAAACATGTCCTTCAGCTGGCTGGATTTACCCCGCCTGTCTTTGTACGTCACATCGTCCAGACGTACGTTCATGAAGGCGTCCACGTTGACCACGCGGCCCCGCGCCGAGCTCTCGTTCCTCAGCTCCACCGTGGTCACCTCGCCCTGCAGGCCCTGCAGCAGGACAACCATGCTGTTCTCTGCGATGGAGCGCTCCCTGATGGAGTTGAAGACTTCAGCTACAGGTGCAGAGCCCGAGGGCGGTGAGTCACTCCTCTCTGACTCCATGGACGCTGAAGAAGAGGATCTGCAGAGTCCAGGGACACCTACAGACAAGAAGAAGATTAGACAAACAAATTAGTTGTAAAACTGTGAATTGCATATTTTTAAGTAACATGTTCTATTGCTGTTTGCCTACAGTATGTATGATTTGTTAGGTGTCACTGTTGCTGTCACTGTAAACTAACCCACTTTACCATGCTGTACAGATAACTCTTACAACTGATCCTGAAAACTAATGAAATAAAAAAAGTGTCTTCTTAAGTGAAGATAACCAAACACTGGGACATTTGGAACAAGTGTGATAAAAACAATTTATTTTTAGAGCTGAAAAACTGCAGTTGTATTTTTCCTACTCCTACTTTTTCCAACTAAAGCTTGGACACAGCCTCCACTTGTAGACTTTCTGTTAAGTATTAATATACATTTGAATACAGGCCAGGAATTGGAAAGTTAGACGTTACAATTAATATTCTATTCTCCTAAACTAACCACTTTGATGTAATTGATGCTAGCACTGTCAACACACCTTCATTTAATAAAGCACTGATTAAGAGTCAATCAGCAGACATGCACAATAACTGGAACACAAATAGGCTTATAGTGGGGCTTCAGGACAGAAAAAAGGTAAGATATTATTACTCTTAAATATGAAATGAATACATGTGTTAAATTAGGTTTCCAAACACATGGCAGAAATTGACATAGCTCTAAACACATGCACTCTCGTTATTGATACACTATTTACTGGCTAAAAACCAGCCTTTTTGGAAAATATGAATTCTTAGAAAACTATCTTAATACCACATACCGCTGTACAACATATACCTCAATGTAATGGTCTCTACTCAATATAGGAAGACATATTTATTGACAGAAAAATAATTGAAATGTGAGAATTAACTAGTGTTAGCAGCGACCTGAACAAGTACGACAGAGCTTCCTCAGAGTACATGTTATATATAATACGAGTTTGTTTGTTAGATTTACCTGGACTTGTTAAATCCTTATTTCGCGTGAAAACCCCCCGTTAACAAACATGAAAACAAGTTGAGATTTCCCTGCAACACGTCCAAGGCAGGAAGCGCAGCGTGATGACGTTTAAATGTACGTCGCAGATGTGCGTCAACATAAAACAACATCGCCCCCTGCAGGCGGCTTTAAATCAAACCTCTGCTCCAGAACCGTAAACCAAACTGTAACTATATGACTCTGTAAACACGTTATATCATTGTATATTGATAATATTCCCCGATATATTTGAATACATCTATTCAAACAAATTAAGAATGCCAAAATAGTTGTCACATAAAACAGAGTTTGCAGAACATAAAAGACAGGATTATACAGCATTGAGTAAACTATAAAAATGAATAATGAAGGAACACAATCAGGGGAAACGTCAATAAAGATGCTTTGTTGATGAAAAACACATCATTTCTAATAAATAAATAGAAGGGATTATACAATAATAAATGTGTCCTCCAATTTGTACTCCTAGTGGTTAGACTTCTTGTTGTAGTCTCTTATTTCTATCTACACACACATATATTGATATATGACATCCTTTCGGACACTTTATGTAACAACCATATTCACCTCAATCTACAGATCCCAAGGCAGTTTTATTAAAACATTTACAATCTATAATCGTCTCATCAATGACTAATTTATATTCTGACATTGTGTTAAATAACAGAAACCAGCAAACAATATTCAATAAATGCTTTATTGAAAACATAATTATTATAAAGAAAATATATTTTACAATGGAACATATTTTGTGCTTGTTATTTAAATAAAGTTAAATATAAGTACGTTTTATCAGATGCTACCTAATCATTTGATATATTATTACTCTCTAATCTACTTCAGTGTTAAACAAACATGTCTAGATAAGTCGGGAAGTAGAGTTAAAATGAATCTTGTTGAAACTACACATCAAGGTCAGAGGTCGTCCATCATGGCCAGCAGGTCGTCTCCTTTGCTGCTGTTCAGATTTCCAGGCGGCTCTTCTTCTGCAAACTGTCCGGCGATTCTAGCAAGCTCAGTCGTTACCTGTTCATCCTGAAACAAACAATCCATCAACAGGTCAATCCTTTACAAATATATAATTAACCAATGATGTCGTTTAAGAAGATGTTATTAATTGGTTAGCTACAGTCTCTACAGGAAACATGGACATTCATATCATGTAAATAATTTATTATTGAGGAAAAATTATATTATTAAATAATTATTAAAAAAATATATATTATTCTGTAAAAGTATGACACTTCTTCATAATGGGTACATTATTTTAATAATTTGAAAAAAAAAACCTTGTCATAATGTTAATCTCATAATAATATGGAATATATTTATATAAATTATATTTATTATATTTTATACTATGCCTATGCTATAAACTTTTTATTACATAATGGTATATTTATTTATTTTAATGTATAAAATATCCTCCATCCCATAGGCCTACTACATTATTCTGTGCTACACGATATTATCTTTAACACAAATGCAAACAACAACACTGGCGTACGCTGTTTACATTTCCTATACCTTGCTGAATTTGCCTTCTCATTTTATTATTAATTTCTCTTATAAAGTTTAAATGATGGCTTAAAATAAAATAAAAAGACCTAACCTCAATATACAGTAGTACATTGTATTACTTTTTCTATTGATCTGTAGTTGCTTCTGTCTTTTCTCACATTCATTACAATTAGCATCTGCCTGATAAGGTATTCCCCCAGTGCAAGGGAGGGGAACCTCCGGCCCCCGGACCATGTACGGCCCGCGAGACCATTTGGTACGGCCCTCGAGGTAATTTATAAACACACGCAAAAAAGAATAAAAAACCGCAAACAAATTAAACAAGCGAGTGTGCCTGTTTTTCCTGGCCAAGGTCAAGGTCTTTGAACACAACACAAGCCTAACGTGTCATCAAGTGGTATATGTCTGGTCTGACAGGGGTGCAGTTCTGACAAGAGAGCACAAGAAGGTCGCTCCGGCACTTCCAAAAATTGCAGTACCCATAAGGAGCCATACACATGCCGTAGTTTTTGCGTGGCTGTGTCTTTAGTTGAAAGCCCAGTGGCGATCTGTTCATCTGTCATAATGATCATACAGTCAATAACTTTGTTGTTATTAGCATCTGGTTAGCTAGCTATGCTAACGAATATAAGAAGCTTTTTCTACAACCAGTGAGGTAAAGGCACATCTTTATATGATCATTATATATAAAATAAGAGAATAAAGTAAACAGGTATAAAATACTATATGACAGTAAAAACAAGTTGTTATTAATAAAGAAGAATACAGTTTAAAAGGGGAGTGATTTGTTAAATATCCATAAAGAAAAAGAAAATCTGCTTACAGTTCTGTTTCATATGGGTGTTGAGAGATGTATCCATAGATCTTCTAATTTTGCTTTCAAAGTGCACCAGATTGATGCTTTTAACTTTTAAAAACAAATCTTCCTGGGGGAGCATGCCCCCCGGACCCCCTAGAGGAGGTTAGGTCCCCCCCCACACTTAAATCATGTTCACATGGATAGGAAACTAAATACATTTGCACACATCTTGTGTCCACACACAACCATGCACGAGTCATGGTAAGAAATCTGGATTAAGAGGTTGCTTTTTCTCTGCACAGCATGAAAGAAAGGCCAAATGGGCTGTGATTTTAGTATTTTTAAGCAGAGGTCAATCATTTGTACGGCCCTCGGAGGATGTTGGAAAAATGTAAATGGCCCTTGAGAGGAAAAAGGTTCCCCACCCCTGCCCTGTATGTATGTTTAGATGATTTACAGTAACGTGTTATAATTTAAAGCTGGTTTGTTCACATTGCTGACTATGACATCACCTTACCTGCATCGCTTGAATATGTATCACTTCAAACAAGGGCTCCTCCGCTAGGCCTGAAGCTCCCCTGTTAAACAACATCAGAGTCATATTTGAAACAGTTCATGTTAATTGAATAGCTGAGTATAAGATAAGAAAAGCACTCACGCCTCCTCCTCCTCTTGGTCTGTGGTGAACAGGTTTATCCAAAAGCCAGTTTCAGCTTTGGGCTCTTTCTCGGCCTTCATGCTGCCCATCAGGCGAGCCAGCAGGTTCAACTCCTCTTTGGCCAGCAGGTTAGGTGTGATGTCCGTCTGCAGAAGGATGGGGGAG